TCCCTACCCAAATGTCTTTGCCTTTCTACCTTCCTAACCCCATCCCTGATTCAGCCTTTCAAGTGATCCTTACAAAATATTTATATGACCTTGCTTATTTTTCACCTGCTCCAATACAAGAAAAATTATGCCTAATTAACATGCCAGTGCAGCACCTTGGAACAATTTACTACATTAGAGTTACTACATAAATGCAGGTTGCTGTCTTTCTGCAACAGAAAGTGGTTGAGGCCAAAACATTGAATGTTTTTAAGAAGGAGTTAGGTATAGTTCTTAGGCTAAAGAGATCAAAGGTATGGGGAGAAAGCAGTAACAGGATACTGAGTTGGATGATCAGCCATGATCATATTGAATGATACAGCATTCTCGAAGAGCTGAATGGCCACTCCCGCACCTATTTTCTATGTTTCTATGTTCTATAAACATTTAAATTAGGTTAATTGTTTCTACACTTGTAGCAGTTATATAAAGTTCTAGTTAGATCCAATCTGGAGTATTCAATACACTGCTGTCATCAAACAGCAGGAAAAGGGGAGTATAGGAATACTCAGCAGGTCAGGTAATATCTGCGGAGGGACAGAAAGAGTTAAAGTTTCAGGTTTCAGCTTGAAATGTTCTCTCTCCACAGATGCTGCCTGATATCCAGTATTTCCTTTTTTCCCCTGATTTCCAACATCCACAGTAATACATTTTTCAGTCAGGAAGGACATATTGTGTTTGGAAGAGATGTGGTGCAGATTCATCTGAATAATACCAGGGTTAAAAGAATTACAATGAGGACAGATTGTATTTAGTAGGTTTGCATTTACTGGAATACAGAAGATAAATGGGTGATTGAGCTGTTTCAAAAGATTAAAGAATTTTATCATGTATATAGAGATAAACAATTTTGCCTAGTGGGGTAGCCCATAACAGGGCATAACCTTAACATTGGAACTAGGCTGTTCAAGGGTGATATCAGCAAGGACTCCTTCATACAAGTGGTAGTGGAAACATCTCTTCATTAAAACCCTGCTGAGGTTGGAGGTCAATTAAAAATTTCAAAACTAAAAGTGATTTTTTTTGGTCATGGCTAGTAAGGATCATAGAACTAAGGTGATTAGGCAGAGTTAAAGTACAGATCAACTGATAACACTAAATGGTGGAGCAGGCTTTAAGGGCTAAATGCTGTTGTCCTGTTCCTATGTTTGCATTCAATCGAAAGATTGGGCATATAAGAAGTCGAAGTTGAAAGAATGGAACACAACGGTCAGAAGCAAGAAGTTTCCAGCACTTGAGGGATCAAGAATGAAGAGCCACAGATTAAATGTTTTAGAAGGTACAAAAGAGACAATAAAATAAAAAGAACTTCCATTCTGTGGCATGACCTCCAGACATTCTAATGTACTTTAGAGCTAATGGTTCATTTTAGAAGTGTTGTCAATGCAGGAAATTGGCTCAATTTAATACCTCATCTAACAGACAGCACCTCCAACAATTCAACATTTTATGACTACTGCACTCTTATATCACCCTTAATTTTTGTACTCATGTCCTGAACTATGTCTTAAACATCTGACTCAAGGGATGAGAGTGCTACAAACTGAAACATCATTAATGTAAAATGATGTGGCCTCCAGTTTCAGGGTTTGTGCTTGAGAAACTAGTGTCAATATTCAGCATTAGACGGAAAAGGTGGGTGAAAAAGAAAGAATTGGAGGCCTACGGAAGCCTGACATGTAAATGTGATTAAAAGTATTTGCTCCTGTTGACTGTATAGGCCAAAATGAGCTGGATTGGCAGAAGGCCTAATTTAGTATCGCAACTAATACTTCCTCTTCTCTGGGTATCATGCTTGATTATTCAAGGATCCCTAAACCACCGATAATGCAATAATTTTTCTACTGCACTGGCTCAGAGGAAGGCCCCAAGTCAGCATATTCTAAAGGTACATGTTCTCCAATACAGTCTTGCGCAGAAACTTCTTTGCCCAAAGATTGCAGGGCATATGGAACTTATTATATTAAAGAGTAGTTGAGTAAATTACACAAATATATTTAAGAAGAAGCTAAGTAAGCACAGAGGGAGACATTTATAGAAGAATATGCTGAATAGAAGGAGATGATATCTGGAGGGAAGAGGCTTATGTGGAGCATCACTGTTACACAGTGCAAGGAAAAGACATTTGAGCAAAACCCTGGAAATCAAAAGTATAACACTGAATTGACCCCTTATCTGCAACTGAGACACTGAATCAGGACATGATGAAAGCACACACTGTCAACTTTGCCAAGCCCTCCTCACTACCATCTGGGGCCTTGCACCAAAGTTGGGAGAACGGTCCCACAGATCAGTATAGCCACAGACTGACTTGGCATATCCACCAAATAATACCTAGCTCTTCCAGGCAATGTTCAGGCACCTCCATCACAGTACCTGGATATGCCCCGTCCCTCTAGTTCACCAGAGGCAGCACCAAATTGATAAACAATTGAGAATGAATGACGCTGGGTGTTCTCAGCATTCATTTCCAATCCTATGATGTCTCAAGGTATTAGGTCAAACATTGCCATGAAAACCTGCCTAATTACTGCCTACTGTCTGCCCTCAGCTAATATAGCAGTACTCCTATGCAAAGAAACAGCAATTATATAAGATGTATCCTAGGTGAGGTAACTTCAAAATCCATTATTAGGGGTGATTTGGGATCACCACTATTTATTGAGCCAGCTGAATCCTGAAGGACAGAACCAACAGCAGATGCTTTGAGAACAAAAAGCAGCATAAATATATTTAAGCACAATTTGTTACTCGTGGCCCAGCATATTTCCATTCCCATCAAGTCAAGAAATCAACCCAGTTCAATGATGAATGCAGTTGAACTTGCCAGGAGCAGCACCAGGCATACCAAAAAATGAGGTCCCAACCTGGTGAAACCACAACCTGCTATCTCTGAAACATAGGAGCACATGCATGTTAAGCAGCAGAAAGAATACATCATAAGCAAAGTAAAGTAATTCCACAACCAACAGGTCAGATCAATGCTCTGTTACAACTAGTCATGAACAGTGGTGGACAATTAAATGATTAACAGGAGTAGGCTTCACAAACACTTCCATCCTCAATAGTGGCAAAGCGCACAAGGCTGGAAGTCTTCAGCTTGAAGTGGCAACTGGATGATCCATCTTGGCCTCCACCTGAGGTCTCCAGCATCAGAGATGCCAGTCTTCAGTGAATTTAATTGACTTTATGTGATATGAAGAAATTGCTGGAGGTACTAGATGAAGAAAGATATAGGCCCTGACAACATTTCATATTCTGGATTTGTGTTCCAGAACCAACCACACTCCTAGCTAAACTGTTCCAGTACAGCTACAACACTGGCATTCATCCAACAATGTGGAAAGTTGTCCAGTTATGCCTGTCCAGAAAAAGCAGGATTAATCAATCTGGCCAATTATCGCCTCATCAGTCTATTCTCAATCATCAGCAAAATGATGAATGGTATTATAACACAATATGAAGAAAGAGACGATTTCACAGCATTAATCTGCGCACTGGTGCACAATTTGGGTTCTGGGTCCAAATCTCATCTCAAAACTTGGTCCAAACATGGACAAAAGAATTGAATTCAAATGTGCAGTGAGAGTTACTGTACCTGTCATTAAGGTAGATTTAAATGATTGCAACAATAAGGAGTCCTAGTAAAAGTAAAATCCAGGGGAATCACAGGAAACTCTCCAAAGATTAGAATCGTGCTGAGCATAAAGGAAGATTATTGTGTTGATGAAGACCAATCAATCATCGCACCCTCAAAATATCACTGCAGGAGTTCCTCAGGATAGTGCCCTATGGGTCATCTTCAGCTGCTTCATCAATAACCTTCCATCCATCATAAAGTCAGAATTGGGGGTGTTTGCTGATGACAGTGTTTGTGACACTTGCTTTGTGACGTGTCTATCTGCAACTATTGGTGCATAAGGGAAATTCCTGTCTATCACTGTTGTTACAACATCTGAAACACATTATTTCTAACTCAATGCAACTAGATTTGTTTTGAATGGATAATGCAGGGATTCCAATTGTTTACTTTTTGAAACTTTCAGAAGGGAATTGGACACATTTTTCAGTGTAAAAGAAATGTAGGAGGGAAGTGGGGCCTTTTAAAGAACTAGCAAAGATAGGCTAATCTGAAAGGCCTCCACTTGTTCTGTAAGATTCTATGATTCTTATCTTCTGCAACCTGCTCGCAAGAATGCCAGAAAATATAGGAAAACACTTGATATGAAAAGACAGGAGTCAAACTTATGAGCACATTAACAAACTTCAAACATCTAAATAGTCACTGAGAGGCCAGTGGAATCCTCGCATTGCACTCCACCACCCATCAATAAGTCCTGGCACCAACTGTTGCTTTAACTAGTTTTTGCACAGGCCAGTCACACAACCTGCCATCTTCCAACTCATATAAGACTCACTGAGCCATTAGGACTTGGGAGCAGAACATTCCCACAGGATGTTGATACTAGCAAGATCCCTCATGTTAACATTTCAGTTCTTTGCTTTAAAGTCTTGGTCACAGAGATGAGGCCTCGCACTGAACTAGGTATCATTGAAAAGACAGAAAACCTGAAGCACTAACACAGAATCAAGCTGACAGAGGCACCTAATCGCCAAATGATTTGTCCCTAATGGCATTTCTGTACAGTTCACAATCTAGTTACACTGCAGACAGCAGTACCTGGAAGACTCTCTATAAAGAACAACATTTACTATTTTATTTCTGCTTTCTCACCCTTCACACAGCAACAAACCACACAAAGATTCTTGGAGGATTGCAAGTACATATTTCACAAAGCACAGAGTTACTAAACCATGCGAAAAAGTGTAATTATTTTTCTTAAACAGCTTAACTACCACATGCAACTAATTAATCCCATGTCCAAAATTTTTTAAAAGCTGAGGGCTGCTTTCAGTATTTCTTTAATATCTTTCTAAAACTCATGGTAAAGGTATTATACCTTGTCAGCAGCAACAGACACACGAAGCTCGAATCTGCTCACAGCCGGTGAATAAAACCTTTCAGAACCCGGTTATTTGGATCACCCTACATACATAAACTGAGTGACAGACTAATTCCTGCTATTCTGAGCCCAGCCTCTCTCTCACTCCTGGGAGCTTTTACCATTTAAGGTCAATGTTCCATCTGGTCTTGCTGGCTCTCTCTCTCTCTCTCTCTCTCTCTCTCTCTCACACACACACACACACACACACACACACTGTTGCTCTCTCTCACTTGCTCTCTGCCTCTTCCTTTCTCACTGTTTCAGTTTCTGTGCATCTTCTCTCCCCGTCTCTGTCTCTATCCGCTATGCTCTTTTCCCTGTATCTCTCTTCCTCTCCCTCTGCGTATGCCCTCATCATTTCTCTCCATGTCCCTCTCTCTCCCTCTATCTGTTTCTTCCCCTACTCTGTGTCGTCCCCTCCCTGCTTCAATTTTTCTGTCTACTTCTCCCTGCTTCATTGTCTTTCTGTCTGACCTTCCTCTCCTTGCTTCTATTGCTCTCTCTTTTTTTGTCTCTCCCTCTCCGTTCTCCCACATTCTCCGTCCTTCGACATCAACTCTTCGACCTTAGCTCATTAGGCATGTCTGACTGTCTTTCCCACTCCCTCATCCTTCTCCTTCTGTTTCTCTTACTCACCCTCTCTCTCCAGGAGACAAAAACAAAACCACCTAAAGAAAACTTGTTCAAGCTTATGCAACAGGCAGGCAGCAAATCGTTTTCTCTTTGAAGATAAAAATAACATTGCATAATTTAGATTGTTCACATCCTTTTTTGATACAGATATTAAGCTCATGAAAGACATGACTTCAGTTGTCCTTTTCTCTTCTGAGGGTTCAGACTGTCTTGTGGTACTGACCCACATGTGTTAGCCACAAATGCCCATGCCTATTGTTTACATGCATGACTGGATAGTCAGGGTCAGGCAGTGTGTGGCGGCACTACCCAACCCAATCCTGGCACCATATGAACTCCCTAACAGAAAACACTTGGAAACCAACACCAACAAGTTCATTGTTGCACTTGCAGTAGTGAGGCACACTCAGATACATTGCTGTCTGCTAGCTCTCAGCAAAAGAATAGTAGGAACAAATGCACAACAAACTCCAGACATTTAACTATGTTCAAAGTATAGTCACTGTTGCAATGAAGGAAATGGAACATGCTTGTACAGTACTGAGCTGCACTGTTGGAGATGCAGTTCTGAGATTGCGCTGCACTATAACAGGGGCAGTACTGCAGGCTACGGTACCATTTCTGAATTAGTACTTAGGGATTGCTGCATTGTCAGAGGGCCAGTATTGAGGGAGTGAATCACAGGATCTGTACTGTGGGATTGTCACAATCAGAAGAGAAATAAACACTGTACTGTGGGAGAGTCTGTTCTGATGGAACATTGCATTGCTGGATTTTCAGTCCTGAGGAGAGCTGCATTGTCTGAGGGGTAGTAGTGAGAAAGTGCTGAACAGTTGGAGGGGTAGGATTGAAGGACTGAGGGACTGAGGACTGTCGCTATTTTGAAACATGAATGGACTTGACTGGGCGGATGCAGAAAGGATTAGAGGACACTAGAATTAGGTCACACGGTTATAAAAAAATCTCTAATTTAAGATGAAAATGAGGAGAAACTTTCTCGGAGTATTGGGAGTCTATGGAACTCTCTTCCATACAAAACAGTGGAGGCAGGGTTATTGACTACTTTCAAGGCTGAGAGCCGATAGATTCTTGATTCACAAGGAAGTTAAAAGCTACCAAGGGTAGGTAGGAACATGGAGATCAGCTTTAAATCTTATTGGATGGTGGATTAGACTTGAAGCCCCAAATAGTCCAGGTTTGCTCCTTATTTGTATGTTGCTATGTCACAAGGCCAGCACTGAGGGCAAGCTGCATTGTTGGAAGTTCAGTATTGAAGTAGCGCTGCACTTTTTGAGGGTCAATACAGAAGATGTGCTGGATTATGACTGATGCTGTCTTTCAGATGAACCAAGGGTCTATCCAAGTCTCTCTGAGCTGGATATAAAAGATCCAATGGCTCCTGTTGGAAGTAGGGATTTGATGACTTGACACATACCAAGGGTTGCATAAATAGGTTTCTGTAACTGTGTTGACTGATGAAGGGTGTTTTTTTACTTGTAGCTTTCTGACTACATGTCAATCTATAGTGCGTGGTGCTTATAAATTAAACAAGCTGTTTAAAGGTTGATAAAAAGCTGAGGATGGGAATGCCAAAGTGACACTGCACAAAAAATGACATATCTGAGTCACACAGGATACCCAAGAGTTGGAAACAAATACTTTTCATTGCAAACAAAATGCCAAACAACTTATGCCCGCTTTGTCCTGCAACTCTGAAACTGTTCAGAATTTGGTTTTCAGGAATCTGTAATTGTGTTTCATATATTTTCTGAGCAGAATATCCATTCTCACAAATCAACAAGAATTAAAAGTTTTGAAAGGCGCAGAAAGGGAAATTTATCACCTGTTGTAGGACAGAGTCACCGATAAGTATTGTGCAGTACATAAGAAACTCTTAGATCCAAGTCCATTAATCACACTACACAAATAAACAAGACAACAGTGTCTGGGAAGTGCTGCAGCCAGAACATGTAGCCTAATATTCTGACTAGCAAACAACATTATGCCTTATACAGTACAGTGACCAAGTGCAGCCATTTGAATCTCATGGGTCTAAACCCACTCTGGCAATTCAAAATCAAATCAATAACAATTTGTGAGCTGGCATTAGATACAATCATCATTAAACGTACAGGATTGTTGCAAGAGCCCAACCCATCAATTTGGGTTGGAAAGTGGCAAGGAACACTCACAGCACGAAAACATCAAACAAACATTGATGATCTCCAGCAAGTGTGTGTCTAACAATTTGCCTGTGTCATTCGACGACATAGCATTACTGAATTCCTGAAATCACAGGCATTATCATCAACCAAAAACTTAATAACCATACAGTAACTACAAGAGCAAGTCAGGGGCTGCAGATCTCACCTTCTGACTCCCCATAGCTTGTCCACTATATGCAAAGCAAAAGTCAGGAGGGTAGTGGAATATTCTCCACTTACCCAGATGAACACAGCTCCAATAACACAAGGAAGGTAGACATCATCAAAAACAAATAAGCTTGTCTGATGGACACCATATTAAATTCCTGAAAATTGTAACATTTATTCCCTGTATCACCAATTTACATTGACTGCAGTGTGTGTAGCACAAGATTCATTCTGACAACACACCAAGGCTCCTCCGACAGTCCTTCTAAATCTGTGCCCCATTGAAGGACAAGGGCAGCAAGTATACGGGAACGTCAGGTTCCCTCCAATCGGGTACCATTCTGACTTAGAAATATATCATTGCTCATTCACTATCACTGGGACAAAATTTCCAACAATTCAAGAAGGTGGTTCACTTCCATCTTCTTAAGGTAAATTAGGGATGGGCAATAAAGACTTGCCTTATTAAGATTACCGGATCTCAAGACTAAACAAAAATACCTAGTTCACTAATATCTTTTAGGGAAAACAGCACAACACCTATATATAATTTGAAACCAACACTATTAATTTTTCTTGTTGTAGCCCAACGAGCCACACAACTGTAAGTAAGAAATAAAGAGAGACTTGTATTTATCTAATGCTTTGCACAGGCTCAGGATGTCTCTAAGCACCATATGTCCATTACCAGTTCAGCACCTTTGAAGTATAGCAACTACTGTAATGAAGGAAACATGGCAATGAATTTGTGCATATAAAGCTCCCATAAAAAGCACTATGGTGATGATGTAGAGTGTGTGATTTATGTATATTCTAGTATCATTTGTTTTAGAGTTTGGATTTTGATCTAGTGACACTCTGTTTTCATATGTGTGTATGAGGGGATTAATAATTAACTTGTTGGTATTTCTGGAGCCATGGCTTTTTGAAACCAATGTGAAAAAGACAGTGCCAATTGGAATTTGTTTGCAGAGAGACAGTTTTATGGGCAGACAAAGTAAACATTTAAGGGCATTGTTTTGCTTTCAGTTTAGAAAGATCTTTTTTTTTGTTTGGGGAAACACCCATAGCTTGGAAAGCTTTGATTTCAGTTCACTGAAGACCTGGTTGAAGTTGGATGCATGAAATGATTTCTCCTACAGAAAAGAGTTAGTTTAGAAAAGTTACAAGGTTGGTTACCTTATACAAGGATTTTAGTTTTTTCTGGTTTGGAACTTATAAAACTATTAGGTTAGAACCCTGAAGGGGTTATTTGAAGCTGAGAAAGTCTAGGCTCAAGAAAGAAGCTACCAGATTCCAAAACCAGGAATTGAAAGCAAGAATTGAGACAAACCTATAGATGTGCTAGAGAAGAGGATTCTCTCTGGTGTTTGAGTACTGTAAATGGATAGGTAGATTTTTTTTTACCATGTGTTTTGGAACCTTTTGAATTGTGTAATAAGCAAATAGTTTGGTTTGCTCTATCTTATCTTTTCTTTTGCATAATAAACATATGTTACAGTGTTAAATCCAAATCTGCAGCATTACATGCTTGTATTTTAAAGACTACTTTGTTAAATAATTAAAAAAAGCAAAATATGATCCATCAAGCTAGATATCAGTCTGAGATCTGACTTGTTCAGCGATAACATCAGCTGGGATCATAACAACTTGGGGATCTTGCAATTTTCCAATTCACTTGGATTTAAGAGCGATCTGTGTCTTTTTAAATTAATGGGTATGTGGTTCTGGACATAAAACAGCTATGTTGTGGTCAAGTTTATTGCATGGAATTTGAAGATGACTTTGAATGTTGTTAGAAGTTTTTTGGAAGTGGAAGATATAACTGATTTTTATAAAAGCTTTGACGAACGTTAAACTGAGAGAGTTTACAGATAAATTGAAGGGAGAAGTAAAAACAAGATCTTGTAAGATGCTTCAAGTGATTATCCAAGATTTAGAATTGGAAGAAAGGAAACCTGAAATTGATTTGTCAGAGCTAGAATGAACTAAGATATGGTTACAAATGAAAAGACTTGAGTTAGAAGAAACATTGAGAACAATGGAAATCAAAGGTGAAAAACAGAGGAAAATGGAAAGTGAGGAAATAAAAAAAAGAGGATAATGGGAAAGGAGATGGAATTAAAAAACCTGAACTTCTGACAATTCTAGGAAAGTATACTAATA